TCTGCTCAAGACCGTCTGCTGAAGTCTGTCTGTTCAAGTCCATTTGTTCAATCCTGTCCCTGAGTTCTCGAATTTGTAGATCTTCTCAAAACAGTCAACTGTCTTCCGCCAAGTGTCCAGTTGTTGCAAGTGAAACCCTCCCTATGCTGCCCTTCCCTTTGGGACTCTCCGTTTGAAAAATACACCAACTGAATACACATCTACACTAAATACAGCTTTAATTCCTATCTTCGATCATAAACTACCCTCCGGACTTAATTCCAGCTTGTGATACCCCCTTGGCGACTTCCAGAATCAATCAGATAGACATGGCCTCCATCTCTGCCTGTATAATACAGCACCAGGGTTGGTACAGACTGACTGGGAACCTGTCTGCCATGGGAGGTGCAAGCCTTGTCCTGGCCGAGGGTTTCCGCCACAGTTGCTGACATGTTCATTATCTAGTTTTATGCATCCTAAATGTCCTCCACCTTTGAGCAATTAGGCTCAGGTTTCATGTCAGTGAATCATCAGGGTGATTCTACCCTGTAGTCCAGCTAATTGCTGCTGATCAGATCCTCTGTAATGAGCTCACTGATATTCAGACTGACATGAAGATTTATGAGTGTTCAGTCATGTAGAATGTAAAATATGCATGCTACCAATGAAAAATCAGAGGCAGTCAACAGTTTGGGTGAGTCCATGTGTACACCATGAATTAACACCATCGGTGCATGAATGAGTTCCACATCATGACCAAGGATATCACAGTTATACAGTAATACCCAGACAGCTAGGGAGTAAGAAGGCAGGAACAAACAGTCAGCACAAACAGTCAGCACACACAGTCAGCACAGACAGTCAGCTATATGTTCAGTGACGGGGCCTGGACTAGACAGTCAGCTATATGTTCAGTGATGAGGCCTGGACTAGACAGTCATCTATATGTTCAGTGACGGGGCCTGGACTAGACAGTCAGCTGAGTGAGTATGGTTTTATGCCATTTCTAGCATTATTCAAGTGACATAGAAGGAGCCACCAAAAGTGATCTTCACACTTTATAACCATTTGGGGCATAGAACTCAGACCTTTGGCTTCATTCACTAAGCCCCCAATCACCCTTTCACATAGTGAACCATTCTGTTACGATGACACTGTACCCCTTGACCAAGTTCCACAAAGTGATCTCGGAGGTATGAATACATGCAATAATCCTGCTCATTCTGGATCAGGGGCGGTGGAGTAGCCTAGTGGTTAAAGCGTTGGCTCGTCACGCCGAAGACCCGGGTTCGAATCCCCACATGGGTACAATGTGTGAAGCCCATTTCTGGTGTCCCCCGCCAGATGTTGCTGGAATATTGCTAAAAGCGGCGTACAACCAAACTCAGTCAGTCTTTCTGGATCAGGGAACAGGTCCCAGTTGAGGGTTGTCTTCAGGGATGGATTATCTGTCTATATGAAAGAGGCCAACCAATCACCATTTAAGTATTAATGCACATGATGCTCAAGATCTATCTACAGCAGATAAATATACATAACTGATTCTGTAGCTGAGTAAATCTGTCATTTGACCTTACTCACATAACAGCAGTAGTATGCTGTATGGACAAACCCCAGGTAGACAGATGAATCTAACACCAGGACCTTTCCTCTCAGTACGACAGTGTTGCCCAAGCCAGGCATTACTTGCTGCACGGTAATCAGCTATAACTGGAGACATCAAATCTCATTGCTGTGTCTAGAAGCCTTTCCACAATTAAATGACTTTTGTGGCTTGTCATTCTGTACAGATGGCATGCATGGCCATTGATGACCAGATGAATCACTATCTCTGATCAGCTAGATTTGGAGGATCTCTATCTCACTGAGTGAATATCCTGAAAGAGCAAGAATCCCCACATCAGAATCCCCACATCTGTAGCAATCAGGATATGGAACCTGACAGGCAAATGAATCAGGCTATTATCCATGTTGACCAGAAGCCTCAGCCAGCCAGGCTGTCACAGGGAGCTGCTGATGATTTGAAAATTGCAACATTGCGTCCATGGTGCGTCCATATACTGATAGATGTCAGACTGCAGGATCTGGTCGGCAGTTGTTGATGTAATATCTACATTTATATGCTCTGTTGAGTGATACACTTCGAGACTGTGGGATATGCACTGTCCAACACCACCACACTTTCGCTGGCAACATTCACTGACTGACTGACTGACTGACTGAGTTTGGTTTTACGCTGCTTTTAGCAATATTCGAGCAACATCATGGCGGGGGACACCAGAAATGGGCTTCACACATTGTACCCATGTGGGGATTTGAACCCAGGTCTTCGGCATGACGAGCCAACGCTTTAACCACTAGACTACCCCACCGCCCCGGATATGTAAGGAGGTTGCATAGACTAACACTTAGTTCCTGATATAGTTACCTTATTACACAACAAATTATTATTACACATATGATCCAGATGGAGTTAGAACAATGCTTAATTCAGGATCCCTACAACTGAGGCAAACTGGACCTGCCAGATCATTCTAAACTTCAGTCAAATTAATTTTGTCATTCATTCTCCATATCTGAGAGACTAGGTGGTTCTACTAGGCTCAATGACAATGTGTTATCTCAATGTACAAAGCCTATCTTAACCACAATGAATATGGTTGGGGACAATGATCATCTCAGCCTCCTTGAGATCAGCATCCTTCCACTCCCCCAATGTGTGGACCTCCTCCCCGAGGGTCGTTACACGTCCTCCCTGTCCCAGGCCCTAATGGACCTAATGTGGCCTTCAGTACTCAGCCAGTCACCCTTGTGAATAGAGTTATAGGGCTACAATCTGAAATCATGTCTTTTTAATGTCATTACTATCAGAAGGAATCACAAGGCATTATCTGAAAATGAAACTTTGATGCTTAAAAAGACCAGTTTCATTCACGGTTGTGCCTTTTACATGATAATTACCACTGGATGAATGACATGTGTTGATTATCTGGCCATTATCTCTTATATTATCACTGATATCCTTCAAGGAATAGTGTTTCATCAGTTTAAAAAATACATTAACTTTCTGAAAGAAATGTTAGTGTATCAAGGTCAAGGTGAATATGGAGCAGATGAGACATTAATAGAATGACTTTGCGGAAAAATCATTTTTAAATGTGTTGTAGTGATCGATGAGAGGTCAGAAAAATGATTGATTCAGATGAAAATATCACAAGTTCTACAATAGGTATGAGTCAGAACCAGAGGCTTCATGATGTGGTTCAGAAAATAGAAAACAATTCCAAACCACATGACCATCTGTCACCAATGCCTGGCTATATATACATCAGAAGCGAAAGTAAGGATGTCCTGATTCTCAAACACATGTCAGATCCTTCAATAATGGAATTTAAAACTAGGCGTCATGTTCCACAACAACTTTAGAAACACAAGAGCTCTGTACAGAATTATGAATTCATGTTTTTGAGTTGGAATATTATGTTTTGTATAAGTTTTGACTTTCATTGTTCACATATAATGCATATAAACATCAGCTGTGTTCTGATAAGCCACAAATTCATTTATGCTTGAATATCATTATGGAGAATATATGTTCTGTGTCTTTTATCAAATTAACTAAGAATTTTGCTATCTTTCTTTCCTTGAATATGATCCCAAAGTTAGAATATTCAAGCATCTAAAAACAAGGTACACATACCAAGGTGATGGAAGGAGACTGGGGGAATTGGGCAAGTTTGCCTGAGGGTAGGGACTGTCATCTACACAGCAGGGGAAGACCGAGACAATAATCTACATGTCCCAGGGTTGCCCTGCCCCCAGGGGAAATATCTATATAGATCAACAGCGATCACACGGCAATAAAAGTCCCCATTTATCAAACAAACAGGCAAACTGTCTGAGGTCTGAGCATATCCTTCATAGAATCATTACTTCATCACTAGTATTTAATACTTTTTAATTGATTTCTTTCAAAATAACTAAACCAGCCACTTTCCCCGGTCAGAGTATGCTGATGAGGACACACTTGGTTTCAGGCTACTAATTGTTATTGTATGTACATCCGACTTCTAGGATGAGTATGTTCTATAAGCATCCAATAGATCTACAAAGGAGTACAATATGTATGTTATACCCCAAGGTGCGGGCTGATAAACACTCATATCTTTTGATCCGAGATACTGCTCTGATAGCCAAAGGTCACCTCGATACTGGGGTTATATCAACCATAATACCATGTCTTCTAGAAACCTAGTAACATTTCTTTGTGGGAGTACTTCCATATCACATCTTGTCTATTTCTGGAACTCCTGCTTTACACTTATCAAGACAGTATCTGCCTTATAGTCCACTGAATCTGACCTCTGTACTCAACACTGTCAACATGGAGATACACAGGAACCCTGGGAAGCATCAAGTTATTCATCCATGAACATATGCACTGGTATGACTGGCTGACTCAGGCTTTACATATTTCCCTTCAACACCTCGGTGTAACTAGCAATGTTACTCTTTGGTCACACTTCCTCTAAGAAAGACACTCCCCCCTGTGTACAGAGCCAGTGATAGGGAGGCTGTATTGCAGCCTGACACAGACCCATGAACAAGGGATGGTGTCATGTAGGGTTGGAGGAATGCCTCTCATCAGGATGCCATGTGCACTGAGGTGCATCCATGCAGAGCTTCTGCTCACTGCACTGGCCAAAGCAGGCACAAGACTATGCAGCTGAAGTGATCCATCACGCTACTGTCATTTACAACTATTTCTTGAGTTCCTCTCATAATTACAATTTTCTCACCTCGACTTCACTGCCAGGTCAAACAAACACAGCCAATAAGTACTGAGCATTTACTGGATACCTATCACCCTGTTCACAAGTGCATTCTTCATCCAGCCCCTTGACAGACACTCCCCCTTACTCCCTCCTCCTGTTTCCTCAGGGGAGATGCCACAACATTGAGGGGAGCTGACTGCCTCAGGCCACATGATGTGCACAGGCCCAACTGACAGGCAAGCATCACCCCAGTAGTGTACACAGTGCATGTGGTGTCAGCTACACAGCTCCCTAGCAGGCTCCACAAGTCTTCTAGGCTCCCTGTGACTTGTGGTAACTGGTGGAATAAGGCAAACTGTAGGACACTCTGCCATCCTGCACATGGTAACAGGGGTAGAACACAGCAATACAGTATACCACAACTTTAAACGCCTCGGTCAGAGCCCAGTGGAATACGATTTAATACAGCATGGATATTGGATACAGCTCCCTTAGGAGGAGTACAATATTTTCTACATACTGTACTAGCTCCCTGTAATCTACAGTGTGAGAGACTGAACTACACATTGTGGTAGTTTGCTCACCAACTCTGTATCACAAGTACAGAGACTCCCTGCTTAGAGGCTAGGCTCTGGGACACCACACTGTCGGAATAACATGCCATGTGCTGTCAAGGACAGAAGGCCCACTGTGAAGGAAACAGGACACAGTGAGGTGATATACCTGCCATAGTGTGTAACATTAGTCAACAAGGGAGATAATACCTCACAGGATATAAGTGTTTTATCCCACAGCTTTTGTCAGTCCTTGACGTGTAACTGTGGTGAATATCTGACATGGAACAGAAAGTAGTACTATTCACGTAGAGGAGCCAGGATAGAATCAATCTGAACCCAAGGTGAGAAAAACATTGTGTATATAATATGTCCATATAATCTGCACTGCAGTGTTTTTAAAATCCATGATTTGTGGTAGGGCCACACCTACCAGTATGTCTGATTTGAATACATGCTTTCCTGTCATGTGACAAAGACTACTGGGTATATCACCTCTTGCACTGCTATATATTTTATATGCCATGGTTTGAATGCTGTATTGACAAACCAGCTCAGTAAGAATTATGATACATGCACGATAACTCCGTGATCTGTCAACTCCTGCCCCAGGCACAGTATGCATGTGAGACACAATGTAAGGATAGGTTCAAGCAGGACATAATACCACACTTGAGGTAGAAAGCTTGATCGCTCAGACATACAGTTTCAAATTCTCCCATCCCTGTCCGGACGTTATAGGCCATATTTCCCTGATGGACATTAGGGTCAATACGGAGCTTACTGCAGTCCATCAGTATCTGCCAGCCCTTGAGCGGAGATGATTACACACACGGTATGTTGATGGTGTCACTGGGACCAGTATTGGCAGATAGGATGGGCAATCCAGACACTCACTGATCCTTATGTGACAAAAAAGAATGATAATGGTATCTAAATGTATCGCCATAACGACCACCATCCCTGTGTCCTGGTTCAAGTGGCAGTTACAGGCAGATACATCACCTTTCAGCACGGAATAATGGCATATCGCACACTTCCTTTTATCTTCAATTACCAATATTACACATTGGTTTATGTGCGGTCAACTGCGGAGAGGGATTGAAGTGCAAATAATGGCAGCAACAGGTTTGACTTTAACATCCGACTTCCATTAAAAACTTATTTGTTTGAGACATCGTGTGAAGCCCGAAAGGAACGCTAATCCGGGCGAGTAAACTAATTGAGAAATGTCACATGGCTGTAAGCATGGCCCATATTGAGCAGTGCCTGAGGATGTTGGCTAACACAGATCTCCAGTTGGTTATTGGCAGATGAACTTGTCTGCCTCCCCTCCTTGCCAGTCCACACTGAAGCGTCTCATCCATGCATGTTTGTGTAATCAGACACCCCATGCGTTTGCAGAGCACAGGTTACACTGAGTCGTGCACCAGGTCACCTGTCCGAGATGGCTCCCGTTCAAATACACCTGTAACGACCTCAGGTGTACCTGTCTGTTCGCTTGCTATGGTGGCAGGTCCCCTCAGCCGATCACACTATCACATTACTGGGTAAGCACACACAAAGATTCTATAAACTGACGCTATTGCCTTTCGGGATTATTTCATGGCGTAAACATTTGTGCCGCTTTGATTTCAATAGATGTTTTTAAGTTAAATGTTTGTTTTCTTGGCAACCTTTCTTGGCCAGTTGATATAGTGGCTACTTGGCTCCATCTGACAGAGGTAACACCAAGCTGAGAGACTCTGATTCTAGAAGAAGCTAACTTTAATTGCTGGTAGTTACACACCATCAGGAAGTTGGACTTCCTTACCTGATTTAACATATCTCCCTGTATGTGGCTTGGGTTGAAATAATTTGTTGGTCATTAGAGATATGTAACATATGTTATATTTGACCACTTTCTAAATGGCATTGTGTACTCACATTACAGATATATTTTGTTGGTGATGTTTAACTCAAGACTGAGATGAGACTGAGTGAGTGAGTGAGTGAGAACACTTTTATGAAAGTTAAAGCAAATCAGCAGTTATATGTCATGGATGACAGGACCAGTAGGCTTCACTTGAGGGAGTCCTAATGACAGGTCAGCATATGCCCAGGTACTTTTCCTCAAACTCCCTCAGGTGTTGTGGTGTTGTATCTGTTGTTATCTAGGTTTGTTGGTCAGGTAATAGTGGGTGAGTTAGTTGCTTTCACAAATATTCCACTCAAGGGACACTAAGGTCAGTGTTCACACATTGTTTCCATATGGCAGAATCAAACCCAGATGATGAGTATGACTGTAACCACTGAGCTACTGACTGGCCGTGAAGATAGAAGTCATATTTGGTTTACATCTGAACAATAATACTGTTCGTTCAGATCACATGGTCATGTTTACTCAGATTCATGGGGCGGTGGGGTAGCCAAGTGGTTAAAGCATTCACTCGTCACGCCGAAAACGCGGGTTCAATTCCCCAGATGGGTACAATGCGTGAAGCCAATTTCTGGTGTTCGCCGTCATGATATTGCTGGAATATTGCTAAAGGTGGTGTAAAACTGAACACACTCATTCAGATTCAAGTGTGTTTTTCAGCAACATGGCGATACATCTCATAATGGTGAAACTGTGTGTTGTGTCATTATGCAACGTCCACAGATTCATATCACATGACCCGAGGCTTATCATCATTGTGTGACTGCACAGCAGTCTAAGTCCAACTGATCTGATAGCCATAGCAATTACCTGCTGCTCAACGTCTAGATGCTATCTGTCACATGTTATATAACACCTCGTTCATGAGGTCACCTTGAACTCGACAGTGTCGTAGTAAGCCACCAGCGGTGATCTATGTTGTCATACCTCGTTTTGTTGGGCTGTCACTGAAATAGATGGTAAGGTCTCATCATGTCTTCCAGGAAGTGATATATTTGTAATTGAGACCTTCTTGTCCTAGAGTATTCTACAGACAAATCTAATTCACTGTTATCTTCTCAAGCAACTTCTACCCCTGTCTAATGTATTCTGATCAGTATTTCACTTGTGACTCAATTGCGTGGCGGAACGTCATTACGTATTCCAGTTGAGATTCACGAGGTTGTTAGGTATTGTTATGACCTCTCCACGGATTATTGCTCACACAGCTGATCATGTGCTGCTGCATCATTTGCATCCCTGTGATGATTCAGTACTTGCAGCATCAGCAACGCAGTCAACAGCTGCTACAGTAACACCTACAACTTAAATTAGCCTGAGCTTCGATATTTGTCGACAATGTTAATCTAATGATGTTATTCTGAGTGTTACCTACTTTCCTTACAGCTCCTACAGGAACACATGTTAATGATTTTATAGCGTGCCCTATCTTTGTGCCATGTTGTAACACATGCCTTCTATATGGAAATATAAGATGTTGAGTTAACCTGATCGGCATGTTATCTTCCCACCAGATAAGATGGTATATGACGTCACATGTCCCATATCAACAGGTGGCAATACCACTTACAACCCAATTCCCCGGGGAATATAGTGCGCACTATTAAGCACGCAGTTTCAAACTGTAGCCAAGCTTCTACAGGTCTTGTTGGAAGATTGCAGTATACAACTGAGATAGAGACTGTATATTATTCAACACTTGGTGTAATATAGGATATATATCACTGTGACAGTGCCATAAGGAAAACATCTCCAGCCAACAGGAACACAAAGACACCCAGTGTAGGAAGTCTCAGTCATGCACACAGGTCGTTTAGACAGCATTATCACTGAGTCATATGAATAAGGCTGGTGTGTACCGCAGCTGGGATTGGCAGTTTACAATGTCAAAATGTCATATTCAGGTCTTCCAAGGGCTACTCAACTCCATTAGAATGATCTCCTTTTCTCCTAAATAACAGTCTACCCTTGGACTCTCTGGGTAAGCAAAGCTCACCAAACCTTTTAAGACTTGGTAATTTCAATTTCAAAGTTAATTCATTTGAATTTCTCTGATCTTTTGATATGAAAAAAACTACTGTATTATGCATGTATTGTGAACTCTGTGTGTCCTTTAATACACTTCACTCTCATTAGGAACCCGTACATCAACTGAACATCAATATTTCATTAGCTTAATTAAAATCCCAGATCAAAACTATTGATCAGTCATTTCACTGATTTGTGAACCAGGATTCACAGCCCCGTAAACACAAGCCATTAACATGGAAACAATGTTACCAGATTTTCATGACAATAGATTGTGTGACGGTTGTTCCCATTGACGTGGTAGCTATTCCCAGGTAGCACAAAGTCCTGCACGTGTTGGCTCACATACCTCTCAGTCCATGCCGGGCAAGAACATGCCAGCCACTCATAATCCTGCCAAAGTAATTATCCATTATTCTCACAAGTTGATGTTTCACTGTAAAAGACTAACCATAAGCTTGATAATACCTTAATACAAAGGATTAGCTGACCGCTGGTCAACCAGGCTTCAGGAGTAGGAACGCTGGAGTATTACAAACTTCATGTGACACAGTCTCAGATTTACTTCTGAATTGCAAAAGACTTTAACACCTATTATGAGTTGTAGTTGTAGTAGTTGCAGTTGTAGTTGTAGTTGCAGTTGCAGCTGAGGGAGGGTGGGCAATATGACAGTTATACCACATCTGTTGTCATTCATATCCCTATTCAACATACCACAACCTAATCTGTCCACACTTGATGTATTCTGCCCTGGTTGATAAAAATCTTTCACTATTTGTCTACTGGGGAATATATGAATATTTTCCTTCATCCTATTCATATTTTTTTCAATGCAAAGATATCAGAATATGCTGGGTTCAGTGAATTTCTGCATACAGCCTACGGTGTTATTCGCCTGATTCCATCTCCATCCAGTAGTCATCCGCTGCCATCACCTCGGTAATCTTGATCATTGATTTCATACCAGATTAACAAGTCAGTTGAAGCTAGTTCAGTAAGCATTGATTATCACTTCCTTTGACTTTTTGTCGGATGATATTGGAACAATAAAACCCCTTGAACATCCCTTCCTTCCCATTAGCAACCATCTCCTGTAATTACGGAGAATCTTTCCGCACAAAATATAAAGCCCTCTACCATTTAACCTCTAATGTCATATTGATCAACCTTCGACAAATCCATTAGAATGAACTATTGAGATACACTGACTTCCATTTTAGCTTGAATGTTCGTTCTATGATCACTGATGCAGAACCCTATCTGGAGTAGGACATGTAGCATATGTCGAGTTCTTCCTCAATTAGTGCTTGTTCTGACACACTCGATTAAACCACATACAGCTGATCTGATGCACATCTAACTAATTCCAGTAAGATTTATTACTGCCTTATACCCCTGCCTCCTCTTCATCGAACTGCATCAGCTTCTCCTGCAAGTGCAGCATCTCAGAGTTTTCAAACAGCCTTGTAATTACTCTCATGCTCCATAAACTTTAATAACTCTTCATTATAGAATTCATTATGGCTAGGAAATGTGTATGTTGGATCAAAACCTGAAAGACTTTGGAAGGTGAAATTGTCAACACTTGTTTTTGACACCATTAGTAATGTTGGATCGTGTTGCTATGGAAACAAGGAAGCTGCTGTCACCTTGTGAGACTTCCCCAAGACTGGTTGGATGGTTCATTAACAACATATTAGAGTGTCAATGTGGATGTGTTCTGGTGGGAAGAGCTGTATATGTCTGCCTGTACTCGTATTGTTGCCCTGCCCATACTTGCTACTCAGACCAGTGGTGGTCAAGTGCGTGAGTACAGTTTTAGGCTGCAGTCAGCAACACAGGGTCACCAGAATGGGCACAACACACTGCTCTCTGGTGAGGACCCTGAGTGACCACATTAACAACAGGCTGTTGTGTCAGGATTATTCAGCATTATGGCTGATGGATTTCAGGCATCATCGTATTTATTGAGTTTATTGTCATATTTGGGTCACAGTGGGTCCCTTGTTGCAGTAACCGGCTGATGTTCCGGTCACTACAGATCCCCTGTTGCTGGTCCATCTGTCCTGGACAGCATGATTGCTGAGTAGAACTTGGACTCGTCCCAAGGACTCGTCGCAATCCTCTCAATCTAGATGGTAGTATTCTTGTGAAGTAGTCTTCATTATTAATCTTGAGGCATGTGACAGCCTGTTTATGACAGTTTCCAGGCTAAGAAGGTGTCACTATTGCTAGTTTCATTTTCCCAAGTTACCTATTAGAGTCGTTTCTATGTTGCTCACTCAACTATTGGATTAATTTTCTGTTTCTGTTTCCAGGAATGGGTGGCCAAGGCGAACCCTGTCCCTGCCAGTCGCTGCTGAAGACCTGCACACATCCTTCTTCCTGACACAACAACTTCCTCAGCATCTCTGCAACATCATCTACACTAATTCACCATGATGTCTTTTGCTGCAGTGGTGGTGACAGTGTGTGTCATCCTAACTGTCCCAACTGTCATGATGGTCCAGGCAAAATGTGTAACCACCCACCTGGTAACTGGCTCCGAAGTCAACTGCAGTGGCAGCAACCTACAGTATGTACCCTGGGGCCTCCACAGTATGATCAAAGTTCTTGATCTCAGCAACAATAACCTCACACGGCTCAGTGGTGGAAATTTTCAGAAATATACATCACTTGAAAAGTTATACTTGAGGAACAATCAAATCAGTGAACTTGAAAATGAGACCTTCTCCATGTTAACCAAACTTAAGAATCTGGATCTGTCGAGCAATCAGTTTACCAGAGTTCCAGTAGAAGCACTGCAGTTGTCTGAACTCTCCCTTCTTTCTCTGAAAGGGAATAGACTAACTGTCATTGAAAACAGAGACTTCATTGGATTAAAATTCCTTAAGATATTGCATCTGGATGGAAATCACATTCGCACCATCAAAAGAGATGCTTTTGAGGGTCTGCAGTACCTCCAGATTCTGGAGCTCCAGAACAATGCCCTGCAGGACCTCCCTGAGGGAGTCCTGAGACACTGCTCCAGCAACCTGCTTACCCTCAGGCTCTACTACAACGCCTGGTTCTGTGACTGTAAACTACACTGGCTTAAGCTCTGGTTCCAGAACAACACTGGAGTCCGATGGGAGTTCCCCCCAGCTCAAACCAGAGTGCGACGGACCAGCACCTTACCAAGGAATGCCATTTTCACAGGTTTCCATAAACAACTTTGCTTGTCCGCCTGAGATGTACTCAAGTTCCGACAGACTTGAGCTGCAGCCTGGCAGCTCCGCAGAACTCATGTGCAAATTCTTTTCCATGCCAGAGATAAAGCCCAGGTGGCTCAAGAACGAAGCAGTGATCCGACAAGAAACGGATAAATATGAAATATATGAAAATGGTGGTTTTGAGAAGACGAGTGTGTTGAAAGTGATAGACTTCCAGAAGGAGGACATTGCATATTACACATGTGAGGTGGAGAACAGTAGGGGTAGGAATTCCATCGAGTTCATCATCAGCATGGAAGGTATTGACTTTGAGTCCATGTTTACATCACCCAAGCCGGAGCCTCTTGGGGCAGGTATAGATATGAAAAATGTGGTTATATCTGTGAGCGTTGTCTGTAGTCTCATTTTGCTGACAGTCACCATCATTCTTATAGTGTGTTTGACGAGTAGACACAGGCGCCAAAAGGCAATTAAGAAACAAGAAATTGCAAAAGAAATAAAGGATCACTTCATTACAAATGGAGACCTGTCAATGAAGTCACTTGACCACCTTGACGATGAATCTCTGACCAACAGCAACCATGATTCCAACACTACAAAAGACAAGCTGTCCGAACATGATGACAGCAACCTCCTCCATACATCACTCTCAAACATCTGCCGCCCGTCGTCACCGAACGGTCACACATACATGTCTTTTGACAGTGAACTCACAGACAATGATGAACTGACACAAATCTACTCTGCCATCCGTAGCCCAAAACGAGAGGGTTCGCACACAGAGTCCACAACTCCATTATTAGAGCATTACGCACCATCATCTGTTTTCGATTCTGGAGAACCACTGGATAATTCATCTCGCCTCCAATCTTTTTCCAGTGTCCCGCGAAATGGATCCAACTACTGGTCCAGCAGTAACCTGCCACGTACCCCGGGAAGCATGAGGTCCAATACCATCTATAATGATCCTAGTTATTTGTACGGGACAAATCAATATCCCCGGAATTACCGAGACTATGGGGATTATCGGGATTACCGTTATCCCACTCCTCCGCCTCCGCCTCCGCCTCATATGCAGAGGATCCATCCAACAAAGAAAAGTGCATCTGTTGGTAATCTTGGACTTCCACAGAGAACATCGGCACCACGGAAACCACCACGTGTGAATCGTTCAGGCGAGCGAATGAGTGACAGTGTAGATGACACAAACAGTGAAATCGGAAGGACGATGACAAATTCCAGTTTCAATGGCATTACGCCAGGAACCCCTGTGTGAGATGAAGTGCTTTTGTGTTGTGTCTTTTCATTGGATCATATCATCATTGTGCGTATTCCACCATTGTGGGCATAGCAGATACTGCTTATTGTGCTTCTTCAAGAACCTTTGTTACCATCGTAAAGACAAACACAAGGAATACCAGTAACCATGGTAACAGAGTAGCCCAGGTTTATCCATAGCCATACAGAAATCGCAAGATTAACTGGATTGCTAAGCATAGTGAATGTGAATACTGCACAGTTTCTAGTCTTGGAGTTTCCGATAAAAAGAAAGGAATAAATTGTGTATTGTATCCATGTGGATTGAACCGTGTTGCGCTGTGATGATGGTGTGGTTGACACCACTGTAGGTATGGACAGTATTTATTGCTTCAGGTCGGTAGCTGCTGACCTCGTCTCATGATATTTCCACTACCATGCTCACTGAGAAATGGAATCTGATATGCTCATTGTACATACTTGTATGGGACATAATTCATAACGATCGCAGAAGCCACTAATTATTATGGACACCTGTTTTTCTTAGACCTGCATCATTTGTACATAGAAACATTTGACATTGACAATTTTCGGGCAGAGTTGTCTCCCCTGCTTGACTCCCATTGGACTTCTTACGGTACTACACAGACATAATTGTATCCCTTGCTTTACCCTTGCGGGACAACTGTAATAAGCATTATCAATAACTTCAGCTTGAGTTACTGAGAGTTACTGAGATTTACAGGCTGGCTTGTTCCTGGAGACATGTTATACACTGTTTCCCTTACTGGTTATTGTCTGCCTCCGGGAAGTGAACACACGCTGTACAAATCTGTTCATTGAAACTGTTTACAACGTTAGACTTGTTGAAGTGTACAGAGCTGTTGTAAAAGTAATTTATTTTCTTGTAAATTGGTATTTACCTCAGATATGTGTGTTCTTTCAATGAAGATTTATCCTTAAAATCAACAACTGAAGTCTCTGTTATACCTGGTTGTCACAGAAATGGCAGATATATACTGGCACCACAGGCAAGATGTTATTACAAATATTACCAAATTTTGTTAATTTCAACTTAATATGGTGTGAATGAGTTCAGTGTAAATGCTGTTACTAATGCGATGTTGACCAGCTTTATACATGTTTGTGGATACTGATGGTCATTAGGTCCAAATTACACCGCCCCAATCAACACAGAGATGAAAATTTAATACGTTTGAACTCTAAGTGAGTGAGTTAAGTTTTACGCCACTTTTAGCAATATTCCAGCAATATTCCTGCAATATCATGTCAGGGACACCAAAAATGGGCTTCACTCATTGTACCCATATGGGGAATCGAACCTGGATCTTCAGCGTGATGAGCGAACGCTTGAACCACTAGACTACCCCAACGCTCCTTGAACTACACAGAAAGAAGTCAAATTAAATAAGATTACATTGATGAACAACAATTCAGAGAACTGTTTTTCAAAAATGCAGGTTCATCATTTTGTTTTTATGTTTCCTTAAAGAACACTTTTGAAATCTAAGCATTTGTGGGCTTGAAATTAACCATCTCTCATATCAGGCATCCTCTTGTTGTTTTGTTTAATAAACATATAAAGACCATCTTCATCCACAAACAAACGCATAAGTATGACTGATATTTACTGTTACAAACTGTTGTACAATATTCCTCCCTCAACTCTGTCACATGTTACCATTGTGTGCATGGAGTCTGCAGCTCTCACCATCAAGGTTACATCATGTAACCTCTTTCAGCATGGTGTACACATCTGAAAACAGTGGTAACGTTTACGCCCGCACCTTCAACATTTCCCAGCATGCAGTCCCTCAGGCCGACATATACGCTGCAGCGCTATCTAGCTTTGCTTCCCTACACAGGAAATGTCAATGTTATCCATCCCTTATTTCAGGCTATTATCGTGCTTCATCAACACATTACGATTCCCAACTGTTACAAACGTGATATAGTGATTATGTTTACTTGAGCCAAAATATACCCATCTCTGCCAAACTGACTATTGTCACACAGTCAGAAGCAGTTCCATGCAGGGAGAATCCTTGACTACTTTGTCATTCTTCCTATAACTTACTGTTATTCTCCACAAGGAGGGAACCAGCTCTGCAATATGAACAGATCAAGAGTCCTTTTTTAAACTGGATTATGTAATCGGCAACAGAAGCAATATTTTCTCTTTGTTTTCATAACTAAGATTTTGTAAAAGTCCCAGGTTCATAAAAGGAATACATCAGGTACAACATTCAGTTTTAATGAATGAAAAACAGTCAGATATATTATGATAAAAGATATTCACGTTTATTTGATTCCAAACATCTGATTGTGCATAATCACGTAAGTATTTATCGGATTGACTTGTCTCAGAGGTCCAAGTATTCTGCCTTGTGTCTGTGCATAACATCCAGGACAGAGCTGACTGAGGAACTGTCAATATATCATACATGGGTTATCCCATACAGACAAACACTGAGAGATAACAGACAGATGATTGATAATGTTACGCCCATCTGTGAGACACTCCAACATATTGTTGCAGCACTAGTGTCTGAGTGTCTTCAGCTGTGTATATGAGCTTCATACACTCCGACAAGCTTTAATCAGATTATACAGGCATATAATCACTGGCTCACAACCATCACACGGATCCCACTGACTGACATATCTAGCCACGTGTCATATCTAGGATACCCAGAATGCAATTTTTGTTTTTTTTCGACAGTTGTGACATACAGTAGATCTGCAATTTTGTATGACTAAATCTACATAAGAAAACTAAAGAATGTCATCTTTGAGTCTAGGTGTCTGCCCTCTCCCTCACAGGATAAAACAACAGCCCATTATATCCCAACAGTGCAGTAAACTGTATATACCCATCTCCATCATAAACAAGACATGAGAGTACAATTTCGTATTAGTGGCATTTTCAGAGGGGAAGGCACACAGAATGTAAATTTATTCTTCTAACAAGAACATGATTTTTTCACCTCAATTAGTAAAAGTGATCCATATTGTTAGCGTTTGAATCTTGAATGCCTGCTTCAATCAATGTGCTATGTACGTTCTATTTTGTTGAGCTGAACCAATCACAATGCCCTATTTTGGTTGCTGCTTGCTTATTTATTTGTTTTGAGTTGTTGTGAAGCAGTTCGGAGGGGACTACATAGATTCAGTTGTGTCAATGGAAAAATAAAATATGAAATAATATGGTGTGTTTGTTGTGTGTAAGATCAACATTAACAGCTGCAGCCAGGCTTTAACTGAATGTTGTTTTAAAATGTAGTCAGCAAGATACCTGGGTTATATCACACCAGCCTGTAAACTATTAAGTCTACACTAAGCAAGTGATGGATGATTTGATCTTCATAGATGGGGTCCAATTACAACAACCTGGTGCCGCTCACAGGGATGAGTAAAGAGATGGATAATTGGAAATATCGTTGATAAGAATCATAACAATACATGATCATGATTATCGATATGAAAATAGTGTCATCAATAATATCTAATGACATGAAGTATAAAATTACACAAAAACCACAAAGTTACATCAATATTCCACGTCTGCTTTCAAATAAAATTTTGTTTTTGTCAATTGTGTAAAAGTGTCACCATTCACCAGTGAAGTGAAATTTGTTCATTTCTTTGAGACTTTTAGTATTTTCTTTAATGTTACTTCTATATTCTTGATAACAGTTCAATATAAAGTCAACGATTATCAATCGCTATGATCTATATTGATAGTCAGCCCAACTCACTAAGGTAAGGGTCAGTTGAACCATGTCTGTCAATTATCGTGAGTAATCACCTCGTGACTACCGAAATTCTAGAACTCTGACACTCAGTATCCTCCAGTGTACTTGGCAACTG